GTGTGGGTGTGTGTGTGTGTAAGAAGGGGACCAGGCTCATGCATAATGCAGACCACATGTGCCACTGTCATTTGTGCTAAAAATCTAGTATTTTGTGAATTAATAGTTTGATCAAGTCTGTTTCAGAGCTAAAGCAATCAAATATTGATGAGAAGAGGAGTATGATAGATGGCAACAGAAATAAAGATCTGCAGAGGTTAGAGTACAAACAGATGCTGGGTTAGTGTGCCTAACACCTGAGGCTAACAAACTAACCTCATGGGTTTCCCTCTCTAATGCTCGAAAAAGACATGACTCCAGTTACAGAAAGAAAGAAAGAAAGAAAGAAAGAAAGAAAGGCACTACACCACCTAGTGGTGTAACATTGTTATATTATTGTTGAGGCTTTAGTTTAGAGGAAGCTGTGCAGCCTCACTAATTGTAAATGTAGCACTCTCTACCTGGTGATTGCTTGGCAATGCATTTCCTTTTTGTTATTTATGAATGTACAAATAATAATTGACTAAAGCTGTGCCTCTTAAATCAGATTAGCGGTATTCATTTTTTAAATTGAACTTCTATTTTTAAATTTGAACAGGATGCAATTTTAATTCTTAAGTTATTCAAATGAACTGAAATTAAAAAGTTTCTCAAGACAAAGAAAGTTTGTCAAGATAAACTTTGAATGATCATTGTTTATATGACTTACAGTCAAATTCTCATTATTTTAATCATTAACTTATATCAGTGTATTTCATGAATTAACTTAGCGAAAGAAATTTTTTTATAACCTGCTGAATTTATTTACATTCCAATTCCTGTATATTGTGAATTCCACTCAAATTCCAAAACACTGAGCTGAAAGAGAGTTTAAAATCTGAATTTCACACAATCACTTACCACACTTACAATCACAGGTTTCAAAATATACATCTGTGGATCTCCATTTGACTCCTAAAAACACCTACTTTTAAATGTATATGAATTACCTATTTTAATGATGTAAAACTCCCCTAATCCTAAACTGTTCTATTCCATCACATGTATAGTGAATCAAGTCTCTCTTTTCCATTAATACCCAATTCCACCCATCACTACAGCAACAACTCTTTCGACACATATGGCCATTATCTATATCTCTGACCGGTGAGTGTGGCTATTAGCACTTCACTCTCACTGAAAATGGAAGTCTTGAGAGCGTCTCCCTCCTGCGCTTATCCATTCAGACATGTGAATCTTTCAAATGCGAATAATTCTACATCGGCTCCAATCCCTAATGCTGCCAAATTAGCATTACTAATTACAGTCCAAAGACACAAATGATTTTATGAATAACTCAAGATGATTATTATAACGGGAACTTCCTCTCCTGTGGTTTCAGACAATTTGTGCTCTTGACAAGACAGATGTATACACAATACACCTCAAATTTGGACAGTGTCTAGACGTATTCAGTGAAATAAAGAAAAATCACTTCAAAAGTCAATCACTTTTTCAAGGCGTAGCAAATTTACTTTATTCAGGTTTTAACATTTATTTTAATACAGACTTGACTATTTCAAGTCAATTGATTTGAGCTTATTTTATTTTTATATTAAGTCAAGTGCTTGTATCCTGACTGTTCAAAAATAAATAAAAATACAACAAATAAAATAATTTAAACTAAATCAAGACATAGTGATATAGTGCTTTAGTGGCCACTATCTCTCAGCAGATGCCAATCATGCTTTCTGAAGAGTATTAAAAGATCTCCTGTTGGCTTGTGAAATGAAATGATGTTGTGGTCAGGAACAGGGCAGAAGTAGGTCAGACAGTCTAAGCTTTTCATCCACTTTGAGAAATTCTGAAGCATCCCCACATCATATGGTAGATTAAAAAAATAATTCTGTCATATTGTACATTACAACATAATTCAGACACACTGATTAAGTATAGAGGCTCAGTATTTGCATACTCAGGTTATCAAAAGAGCCCACATTCTGTCTTAGATTACACTGAAGCAATCAAAGGTGTACTCACATGCCACAAATCAGGCAACAGTGCAGATTTGATCTACTTCAGAAGGTGAACTTATGCCCAGCTGACCTTCAGTATTTGACACAGCTTGCTAGAGGCAAAGTGTCACATTGGCTTTTAGTGACCAGTTGTGATACTGACCGAATAAAGCAGCCAAGGTCAACCTGCTCCTGAAAGATAAGACAGTCACGTATTATGAGGATTCTTGCTCTGTCTGCAGGCTATTGTAAGTGTCACGGCTGTTTCTACTAGCTAAATGAGAAGTAAAGCACAATCTAACAGCACATCTAATCAGTTAATGTCTGTGTTGGTCACACACAAGTGCCAATGCAATATCCCCGTCACCGGCAATCAACCAGTCCCTCATCCCAGAATAGCCATAACCCATAGCAGCTGCAAAGAGAACACTCAGGAGCGCCCTTGAACCTAAAACAAGTGGCATGCCCCAGCAATCACAAGCCCACTACCATTTAAATGTTTGGGGTCAGTAACATACATTTTAATGTTTTTGAAGGAAGGAAGTCTCTTATGCTCACTAAGACTGCATTTATTTGATCAAAAACCGTAAAAACAATAATATTGTGAAATATTATCACAATTTAAATAACTGTTTTCTGATTTAATATTTTTTTAAATATAATAAATTCCTGTGCTGGCAAAGCTGAATTTTTTTAGCAACATTACTACAGTCTTCAGTGTCACATGATCTTTCAGAAATGATTCTATGCTGATTTGGATCTCAAGAACACTTCTATTATTATCAATGTTAAAAACAGTTGTGTTGCTTAATATTTGGTGGAAACCCTTTTTTTTAAGGATTCTTTGAAAGTTCAAAACAACAACATTTATATGAAACAGAAATATTTCCTAACCTTATAAATGTGTTTACTGACACTTTTAATCAATATAATGCATTCTAGCTCAATGAAAGTATTCATTTCATTAAAAAAAAAAAAGTTTCTCACTCCAAATTTTTGAACAGTAGTTTACATACCAAGTACTATTTGGGTTAATTTTGAGATATTTTGACTGTCATACTAAACACCCCCCTCCCACACACAATTATCTTTGTGTGATCAGAAATTACTCTATACATCAAAATGAGATAATGTCATTTTCTTTCCTTAGGTCTCATACAGATGTTAATTCACACGTATAGTTGCATGGAAAATTGCAACTGGCACATTCCTCAGAATTTCTCCTTTTGTGTTCCACAGAATAAAGAGTTTTACAGGTTTGGAACAATATGAGGGTGAGTACATAATGACAAAAAAATTTGAGTGATCTATGTCTTTAATTTGATTGCACACACCATCTGTTTTGTTCTTTGCTGACCTACAGCACCTTGTTTTGTGTTTGCACCTCTATTGTATTACGCCTTTGTGCAGCTCAGGGCTGAAATAGAATGCTGAGTCTGTGTGGTGGAATAGAAAGAGAGAGAGCGATGAGGGAGACACTGATGGAGTAGGACTGCATCCACAGGAGCTCACAGCTCCACAGCGTTCAAGGTGACCGTCTGTGCTCGTGTTGGTCAGTAGAGAATGGGCCGGTTTCTGCCATATCTGGCACA